AAACCCTAAACCCTAAACTCTTATCACAAAAAGCCTTACCTTCCGTTTTGAAGCACCCCTAGGTCATCCTGAAGACGGGAGAAGCCGAGACGGATCATGGAGGCCCTTGCAGGGATGGGGCTGTACAGGGATACATAGAGATGTGTAGGGATATCTAGGGATTTCTAGGGGGGACGTAGGGGTCTATAGCAAGACCGCATGTATGGATGTATATGGTAGAGATAATGTGTTCAGGGTAGAAGCTTTGTAGGGCCTCTCAGGGCTTCCTAGAGTATTACGAAGGGAACATAGGCATGGGAAAGTTTGAAGGAATTCATCTTTGTCGCTTGGAGAACAAGCTGGTTTTGAGAAAGCTTCAGCTGCATAGCTGGACTGCAGCAACCCCAACTGCCTACATTTTTAGGGTTAGGGTGGAGAATCAAATTGCGAAGACAATAAAACATGAAATGAACATGGTGATAATACAGGGGCTTGGAGAGTTCTGGAACCCCAATTACTTACAGCTTAGTATCAGGACATGCCTTCAACGAGAACGCGATGTCGGGCTGTGGCCAAATCAGTGTCTTTTCCGTTCTCAGTGCAGAAGGCACCAGCAGAATTCAAAACCTTCCGTTTTCGTGACAATTATTTGGACATGATTCTCCTGTAGCCCATGAAGTCTCCAAATGCGGAGCCACGACTTCGAGGAGCAAATGTGACCTGCAAAATTTTTAACAAACAGGCGAACTGGTCATCGCCGGATCGAGGGATGGCAGATGGGCGCGGGGCTCAGCATTATTTTCATGATATAGGACTGATGGACGTTATTACTGTTGGTAACAGTAATTGGGACATCAGTAAGGAAAGTCATAGCAATGGCAGTGAAGAAATGCGCTTAGTACTACTAGTTGTGAGGAGAGTGCAAGTCGTCTTTGGTTGCCTTCTGAGCTTGTCATCTGCATGCACAGTGCCATGACTGATAGGAAGGAGTGGCCAACGTCACGAATGTGGACTTCATCAGAATGGGCCACTTGTCGGAGAGCCTGATTTGTTCTGAACGATCTTCAGCTTCTCTGCGGGGTTGGTCTCTACATCACCTCCATCGAGGTTTCAACATGGGAATATGGGAGTTTCTCAACTCACCCCGACCAGTTGAGAAGAGGATGCCACCACCGTTTCCTAGTGTATATCTCGAGAGTCCCAGGGGTTTCCCCAAGTTGAGACCCCCCAAACCTCTAAGCCCTAAACCCTACATGCTAAACCCTAAACCCCCATATGCTTTGGGGAAGCCGCCATATGGGAAGTTCCCAAAAGTAGGGTCGAATTTAGGTACCCCTAAATATTAGGTGCGGTAATATAATCCATAACCAAACAGGGCCCACAATTTTGAGAACAACCCATACTACCGTATTTTCTGCTACACGTGTGCTACCTGAACCCTAAACCCTTAACTCTAGAACCCGAAAACCCTAAAGCCCTAAACCTGCCAAGGAAAGCACCTGTATCAAGCCCCGGCTTTGAAGTACAACTTCTTGGGGTCCCGGCCTCAGAGCCGCAAAATCCTGGCTTGTTGTTAAGGAACTAATTTTTTTAAAGTTGCCATCACAAGGGTATACGTATAGGGTAGGCATGTATGTATGTATGTATGTATGTATGTATGTATGTACACTATCTTCTATATAGGGTTTAGGAATTAGGATTAAGGAACTGCATGTAAGTCACAGAGTATCATCTAGGGTTTAGGGTTTAGGGTTAAGGAACTTAATTTAAGTTACTATATTGGGGTATAATATAGGTTTTAGGACCCAAATTTCTGTTATCATATTATCACCTATTATGGAGAATCAAATGGGAAGAAAACTGAACATGAAAAAGAAACTGGGGGAATATAGGGGTTTAGGGAACTTGTTTCCCGTATTATTTGTATGTAATAAACAGAATTTTTCCTTGGTATAGTTCTTTCATTTTGGCTCCTCATCAACTACCCAGTTTAGGGGCTTGCTGAGCTCACCCATGTAGCTGAAAGAGCGAGGGCGCCTATCTCTGATGCATTTGTTGTACTTTTTTTCCTGAACATCCGGGCTGTGGACGTTAATCAAGCGTGAGCCCCAGATCCTAAATTCGAAGCCCTAAAGTCTAAACCCTCAACCAACCAGACGCCCTAAAGGATCCAAAAAATGGAACCCTCCAAAAGAGCTCCATAAACTACATTAGTGAAGCCAGGGGATTATTGGGAGGTTCCATTTTTTGGGCTCCTTTACGGGGTCTGGGCGGGGGGGAGAGCAACATGTAAACCCTGAACCCTAAACCCTGAAACCTGAGCCCTGAACTCTAAACCCTAAACCCTGAACCCTAAACCCTAAACCCTGAACCCTAAACCCTCAACCAGGGGGCAGGGCAACATGTCGAAAGTGGAGAACTGCGTCTTCAGCCACTCCCAGTCCGGCGCGATCGAGGCAGGTCGGCAGACATCCTCAGATCGTAGTTATTATTACTACGGTGGATACTAAAAATCCTGCATGACCTTAGTATGCTATAGTACCATTATTCCCAAGGTTTAGTGTATTTAGGGTCATGCAGGATTTTTAGTACCAACAGTACTCTTATAAACTATGGTTATCATTACCCATTATGATTGTTATTGCTGCTGCTTTTATATGAGCTATAGTCTAAACTCCTAGTATCCCCCTTAATAAGCCCTATAGAAGTCCCCTATATACTTCCCTACATAACCCCCCTTTAAGGAGTTTAGACTACAGCTCATCTTATCACTATCATTACTATCATTACCCTTATTATGTGCGTTATGACTCTTTTCTTACTGTTATCATTACCATCAATGTTGAAAAAACGGGCTCGTTTTTTTGGGGAGCGCCCATAAGGAGGATTGGAGTGTACTGGGGTCTAGATTGGGGCTCCCTGTGTAAGAAAGCTACCTCTAGTCGCAGTGGGTTTTGACGATTTAGGGTCTGGGGTTTAGGGTTTCGGGTCTAGGAAAAAAGGATGCGTGGCTCGCTCCTTAGGACTTGTTTCTCCGGTGCCGTTGTAGAATGCAGCGCCAGGCCAATCATGTGTCCCACTTACGCATCGCTCAGAACGTGTTCCACAGGCCGTACACTCAGAACAATCTCGCCCAGGGCATTCTGGCAAGTGAAGCGCTTTCAGAATGTGATTGATGTGCCCAGAAATTGTATACTACTGGAATACACCCAATGTCGGGAACTGCAAATTTAGTCAAACTGCCATGTGGTGCTCAGGACATTCCGAAGTGCGGTGTGGCTGCGTATTCCTGACTCAGTTTGTTTGGCTTCAACTTACCGGTGCTTAGTAGGGAATAAGGGAATATAAGCCCTATATAATCCCTATATTAGGGTTTAGGGTTTCGGGTTTGGGTTATAGTATATTCCCTATTGCCTGCTAACCCCCAGTAAACAAAGTGAGGGCTATGCTGTTGACAGTGGCCCTTTGGTGGCATGTCTGCCATCTTCCTTGGCTTCCCTGCTGAAGGGGTCCCAAGAGAACGACGAGAAGCTGGGATGTACATGGGAGAATGCTACAGTAGCTTGCTGGTGGTTAGGAGGGAAGACGGGAATATAATCCCCATATTAACCCCTGTAGGAATATATGCCCTTATTCCGTACTAACCCCCAGTAAGGCAAGTTTGAGAAATATCCACATAAACACATGCGCACACGCACACACGCACACGTGAGCCTGATACTGACCCTAAACCCTGAATCCTAACCTTGTTATTGCTGCCGGCCACTCCTCATCCTTGTGTTGTGCTCTGCTGTTGATGCTGCAAATGGGATCTGACAAATTAGGGGTACCTGGGGTCCTTGTAAGAAGGATGATGATATATTAGGATCTATGTTGCGGTCCGCGTATGTAGGAAACTACCAAATATCATTTGGACTTGCACGGAACGGACAGCATGGCAGGTGATTCTTGTCAGCATGACGCGATTGAGCTGTACAAGAATGTTGCCATCGAAACCGTCCGGCATCCTCGAGAGAGCGAAGGACATCTTCAGATTTTCTTCCAGTTGTGTGTGTTCTTTTTTGACGTACCGGCTGTTGTGTATGCATTGCGCCCTGGAATAGTTCTAAAGTGTTGTACTTGCCGACGACTGTTAGAGGGCGTAAGTCAGTGTCCTTTGCTGTGATGTCCGCAGATTGGATTCGGCAATTCGGTGCTTACTTCCTGGAGGCAGGGGCTTTGATTGCTGGTTGTCCACCCGCAATGTGGTACTTTCAATAGGGATGCCATGGTCCCATTCCCTGCATTTTTTTGTTCTCAGAAGTCCTCCGGATGAAGTCCCCGCTAGGAACTTGGGATCACATATCTGGAGGGCTGGCATCTTGAAACTTCAACAAATTGGAGTACAAATTTGGCCGAATGCCCAAGCATGAAGTTGGACAATTTGGGGTCCGTGCCCCCTAAAGCTGGATGTCCAACCCTGTAGCTGAAGGCCTAAAACACAGGGGTGGGGATTTATCTAAACATGTGTCTAAACATGTGAAACATAGACCATGGGCTTTTGTTCAGGAAGGCCGCAAACCCAAAACCCTCAACTAAACCCTAAGCCCTGAATCCAAAGATGCCTTCCACATGTCCATATGATGTGCAGCTAGATTTCCCACGTCCCGCCCCCGGCGCCCTAAACCCTAAACCGCTGAACCCCCAAACCCTAAACCC